ATTTTACTAAATACAGCCTGAAACCATACGTGAGTCTAATACACCATTAATGATCCAAGGGTAGATAAAGTAAAAAGCTATTGCTCTTAGGAAAAATGCCAGGAACCAGCTACATTCAATTAGGTAACCAGATTTGATTTCCTATAGTATTAAAACTGCTTAATTGCCTGTGAAGATTGCTTGATGCAGTATGGGTTAAATATCTTCCTTGGTGAATTTGCAGAAAATCGCTTTGCCACAATTGTCTTTATTTGTGGTCAGAATGGATGTTTGCAAATTGACTGTTCCTTAGGGTGTGAAAGCCTATTTTTTAAAAATGAAACTGAAGGTAAATTCATAAAATTGTCTTATAAGTCATGCCTGCCATCCTGAGTGAACTGAAAAAGTTAAAGGTTCATGTCTTCCCCTTCAGTGACTTGTAAAACACTTTCATCATCTTTGCTTAGGACTAAAGATGATCCTGTCCTGCCTATGGACAACCAGCACTGTTTTGAGAGTTTACAAGTCTTAGGCAGCTATTTTCAAGAAAGGAAAAATCTTAGCTGGTTATTTTCACAAAAAGCAATGATAAATGACCTAATGGTTTTGGTACTACTTAGAATTCTTGATCTGCAGCAGACTTCTGACAAGGGACGGGGTCACTTGCCATTTTACTTCACTTTGCCCTGCAAAGTGCAAATAATTCCAAGCTCATATGCTACTACCTTACCCAGTTCTGGTGAAATGAAGTGTGTTTACTTATGCATTTTTAATATTAGGATAAACAGTTTTTAACTCAGATAATTTTGACAGACTAGACTAGACAATGACTCAGTGCTTTGTTAAACAAGAACTCACAGTTGTCTGTGTGTCAAATGGTCTTCAGAGTGGCACAGAGAAGCTGCCTCCGTGCCAGCTCCTCAGGTGTCGTTAGCCAGAGAAGAAAATTCAGCAGCTTCTAGCCTCTTCATTTTGTGATCTGATAATTAAGGTCTTTCTCCAGATACAGGATTCTTCCTGATCTATGTCACCCTGCACAGTGATTTATATAATGCTCAGCCCTTTAGCAGAGTGTTCCTCCATAGAAGGCATCCTTTTCTGGAGCCACAGCAGGACTTGAAACTATTCCTGGGTTAGCTCTTTGCCTCTACTACAGTTGGGGTGCAGCTAAGTCTCCTTGCCAACTGCCCCCCAAAAATGTAGACAAGGAAATTTTTCCCAACCATAACAAGGGAGAGAGAACATCAAGCACATTAATATCTTATGATACAAGTAGACATCCAAATGAAGTATCTCTAATCAGCCATGTAAGTGGCTTTCAGTTTTACCATTTCCTGGAAAATGAAGTTATAGCAAATATGGGACATTTTAATGCAAGAGGTCCTTAAAGTAGAAAGGAAGTATTCCTTTGCAATTGATTATTTATGGACAGATTCTAGCCTTGGGTGCATACTGCTGCACAGCTTGCAATATCCATCATGGCAGCTCTGCAAGCCTAAGCAAACATGTTTATTCTCAAGAGCGATACTGGTAGCAGAGAGCACCATGTGTGCCAGACTAGACCGTTCACTGTGCAAACTGTTGTCCAGTATCTTAATATTTCCATATTGAGATTTGTCAGAGTAAACCTTGATTTTTCATTGTTTTCTGTCTGGACTGTGACACACTAATTTAGCTCACTGGCATTTCCCAGGCTGCCAGCCAAAATATATTCTGGTAATAAGATATATGCACAGTATTTGCGACACTTCAGTGTCTCCTCTATATTATGCCCCTTGTGCAAACCTCTTGGAGTACTTGGAAAATTCAAATTATCATTTAGGTAAGGGGAGAAGAAGGTGAGGTATATTAGCACTGTTTCAGAAAAACACTAAGTAAGAAAGCTGATGCATTTTCCGACAGTGTGCCAAAACCCACCTTCATGGTGATATGTGGTGGCCCAAGGAAAAGACGAGCACCACAGCTCTTCAGCTTTAAGAGATTCTGATTTGTGTTTTCACATGGAAAAAGGGCAACAGATAATTTATTCTTTAAACACAGTTCTTAACAGGAATAAAACCAGTGGCACAATTCTAAAATTCTTGAGGGCAGTGCCAATCTTTCCACTGGTTTGATGGAACAGGTTCAGATATCTGCAAGGTAGCAATGATGTGTTTTAGTGATTTCAGAGGAAAATGGCCTCCCAGTGTTTCCTTCTCTTCTTCCCTCTTTTATGGAGTATAACAATATGCAGATCTTCCTTGCAGGATGAACAGATCCAAGCTGTCGTGCCAGCTTGCATGCTAAGCAAACCTCTCCCACAGAGGACACTGATTGCTGCACACTAAAACATCTTCCCACCAAAAAGTAACCTTTGCAGAAGATAGTCTCAGATGAACCTACATCCTGAGTCTGACAGTGCCAATGGAAACTTGGTGTGTGACTTCAATAAAAGCAACATTTGTTTTCGTTTGCCATTTTAAGCTATGCAGTTTAACAAATTGGATTAAATGCCCGGTGGTGTGCTGGAAATGGGTCAAATGCTTGATCAGCTTCTCTGGTTCTGGATCAGGACATAAAAGCCTGTACCAGGTGGCTTTCATGAAGAAGTGGGGCTGCCCTGAGTAGGTTAGAAACAAAGGAGACAATGCTTTTCTCCCCACTGTTTTTACTGAATAAATTATAAGCTTTAATTGAAATGGTCAAGGGCTATCACGAAGCTGTCTGCCTTAATGGACAAGGAAGATAAAATAATATGATCAGGAATAATCTTAAGTAGGAACTGGACAGCAAAGAGGGAACACCAAAGACCTTGCAGCTAAACTCTAGATTTGAGACCCTGGAGATCTGGGAACTATTTGTGACTCCAGCTCTAATAGACAAGTCTGGCTGGCATTTCAAAGGGAGGGAAGGCAGAAAAGTTTCTGACTTCCCCTGTTTTGGGCAGATAAATCCTTTTTGAAGACCCCAGCCTTTGTGACTTTTCGCCACCAAAAGCAAAAAGTTGGGGGAGATGATAACTTCTCCTTTAACAGGCTTAAATGAGGATTGACTGCTTAGAGGTCTTCAGCTAGAAGCACTGTTGTTAATACAACTGATTTAGGAAAATAAGGCTTGAAATTGTAGCTGAGGATACTGTTGCTGGGAATTTTTAGAACTGTGTAAACACATCTCCTTCATTACACTAATTTACATCCATTACTGTGTAGCATGTGGCATTTATTTTCTTTTTTGCTGGAAGTAATGCACTTTAATGAGTTGGTGCTCCATATCATGCAGAGACCTTTTAGCAAAGTAAGCAGTTCATACATGTAAAGACTCTCACAGTGGGTGCTCGCACAAGGCAGTCTGGTGAGTAATAAGCTTTGGTTATTGCTCTACTTTGCTTATTACTCTACATATTACTTCATGTCTAAAGGTATAAACAGTAAATTGAATTTTCCTCTATAAGAGAGGACTAGAGAATAACCTCAGTCAAGCACACACTGACAGACTTAATGGTAAAACCAAGAGAAAGAAAATGATCGTGGCTGGGTGTCACAGACAGGGCAAGTTGTGTAGAAAGATGCCCTCTCTAGCCAAACAAGTTTAACATCTTGCCTCTATTGGCCAGTAGATTATTTTTTGCATCGTTATTCCCAGGTGAGCTCCTCTTTGGGAAGTGACCCTAACACACCATTCTCACCCACTGACTTCTCCAGCAAAGTGAAAAATGCACAGAAGTGTGCAATTAATGGCTTAATTTATTCTCTGTTCTGTGCCACTTGAGAATCTCAGTTCACTGCAGAAGCTGGAAAAGGGAAGAGCCCTGCTGCCTGTTGTCCATGTAACACTCCTGAGATCTTAATGGTTGCTTCATTCACCATGTGCTGCCTCTGACATACGCCTGTGTGTGGGAGACAGGGACAACATTTTGATCCCTCATATTAGGCTTCCTCTGTCTGGTCACCTTTTCTGTTCTTTTAAGTACTCCTTTCCTTTGTAAGGGACTCCCCTCCATAACCACAAGGTATTTTCACCCCTACAGATGTTATTCCTTTATTTTAAAAACAAGAGAGAAAATCAGCTAACAGTATAAACCTGTGCAGTTCTCATTTTCTTACATTACTGTTTCATCTGGCTTACCTGCCTCATGAGTGGATATCAGTGTGTACTGTCATAGCCAAATGTATTGCATCAGTGATGGGACAGAAGGGAAAAATACTGCTGGATAATTGCAGCTTCCAAGTAGGATAGTGTACAGCACATTCTGAGAAGGTTTCACACAGTTTAGGCCCAAGACTGTAAGCTGGTTATTCTAAAATAACCTGGCCTGATATTACTGCTGTCTGTAGCTCAACATGCAAAGCGCAGTCATTGGTAATTAATGGGGAATGAGGCATTTGGTGATTTCAGTGTTTCTATATTTGTCTCAGGGTTTCAGATGAGAGGGAGTGAGGGAAACAGACATTGATTTTTCCAGCTCTTAATGTGGTTGTTAACAAAAGCAAACACAGAAGCTGAAAATCTCCAGTTACAGTGCATAGATATTTGCTTGCCAAACACTGTATGCTCTGTAACAGAGATCTTTTTGAAGGGGAATTTGTGACATTTAGGTATTGCCCCTCTGTCACTTAAACCAGAGAAAATCAGAAACAGCTCCACTGACACTAATGTGCAATAGACACTGGCTCATGCCAAGTCTGCAAATTCAGTGTTTGACTTCAGAGTTTTGGGTTAGTTGGAAGTGTGTATCTATCCCTCAGGATAGCTTACCAAGCCAAGTAGTGTTCAGCTTTCAGTTTCATTGCAGTGTAGTGTATCCATGCTGAGAGTCAGCATTAGTGTAATTGCAGTTATTTAAGTGCCACATGCTGACTATGTGCTGTGCAGAACTCTGAACGTGAAGCTTTGTTACAGCTATTTAAACATCTTATAGAGCTAGCTTTCAAGGGTTCATGCATATAGATTAGCAACAAACGTGTTCTTTCCTCCACTGTCCATGCAACCTCTGGGAAGATAAATTCTCAGCCTGACAGTTTGCTCTTGTTTCTCTTTGCCAGGATGTGAGGAGTTACTAAAAGATGTCCTGTCTCCTGAAAACTCTGGGCCTCAACACTATGAGCCGCAGTATGTTGATTACTATTACCAGGTAAGAGAGGCACTGATTCTGTCTCGTGTTAGTGGGCTGAGGAAGCCTCTGGAGTGATGTGTAGTTGGGTCATTGTAAATGCTGTTGTTTTCCTTGGCCTGTCGATTCTTCCTTCCTAGATTCATGACTGTTAGCAAGCCTTCCATATTGGTTTAAGCTGCATTTAACACAGGATAGCTGTCAGCTGGTATGAGAGTATTTAGGATTTGGATAGTATTCCTCTTACAAGCCTCGGTATTTGTTTGGCTGTGAAGGGAGACATCACATACAAGCTCTCTGGCACCACACAAGTAGAAAACACTGATTTGTATCTAATTAAATCAGTCAAACTTTAGGTGAACAAGTCCTCAGAGACCTTCTGCAGATAATAAACAGGGACTCAACAGCTGTTGGGAAGCAGAAACAGTACACCTTTGGTAACCTTAATAGTATTTTGGCTGATGGGTATAGCATATTTTCGAACCATTAAAGGTCTTCATCTGTATCCTTAATTTGACAGTGTCTGCACAGTCTAACAAGCAGGTCAATGTTCAGTTTTCCTTTAAGCATCTCTTTGTCTCTCCTTCATCTTACTTTGCTTTTAATCACTTCCACCCATGTAAATTCTTAAGACTAAAGGTACAGTTAGCATTGTACATTCAGATAAGGTGATCTTGAAATCAGTAGGGAAAGCATTTTACCTTCCCAGGTGATGAAGTGTGAGAACAATACTCATGTATTAAGGAAAGATGTGATAAGCTTGCTGGTGTTACAACACTTCATGGTGTTACACAAAATGGTTTCCACTGTTTATACAGAAAGTATAGAGACATTTCCTTTACCTCAGTGCAGAAGATGTCTGTCACAAGATGGAAGGAGCCCTCCATAACTGCAAACAGGAGGGCAGAATTTGGTCATAAACTTTTTTAATAAGGAAGAGTTGTCTGGGCTTACTGGCTCTTTTTGCTTGATGAAAATGCCAGGCTGGTTTTAGTACCTGGTCTGTGGCAGGCTAATACCACCATAACTGTGCTTGTTTCTGAAACCGTATTTTTTTTTTAAACTGGTGACATAGATACCCACCATGCTGTTGCTTGGTTACTTTAATAGATACTGTAAACCAAAACTCCCTGTTTTGAAGTAGATGATAGAGGCTATCAAATGGAAAGCAGGCTCTGTGCAAACACTAGATGTTCCCCTCTTGCAGCGCAGACTGGTTCTGACACTCTTTGAAGGTAGGCAGCATGGTTGTTGGGTCTTTGTTCCTCAGGGATTTCACATCTGCTGTCATGCAAAGATGTTCTGTGGAGGGTGCTTGAAGACGAATTCTGAGATGGCTGCCAACTGCACTGCTCCTGCCAGGAGAGCCTGAGGTCGGGAGTTGCAGTTGCTAATCCAGATGATGAGTTATCTATTTGAGTTCTAGGCTTCTGCCTCTGGAAGAGGAAGGGAGCAGAGGGTGACCCTTCCTGTTCAGAAAGAGTTGATCTGGTAGTGCTGTGGTGGAAGCCTTGCTGATCCCTCCTGGATAGGACTTCTCACGTCCGCTAGCCACCCTGTATGGTCCCAGCAGTGGGCAGCACCATTGCAGCAGAGTCCAGCAGCTCTGTTTGCCCACTTCAGTTGGGCCAGTGCAGTGTTTGTGCAGCCTCTGAGCAGAACCAGGTTCTTCCCCACCTGCTCAGAGCAGATGAGCTATTGTGGTGGGGAGAGGACAGGAAACAGTGCACACTGTTGTGCACCCCATGCTTTTCTCACAGCTCCCCTGGAAAGCTGCCCTCCAGAGGGGAACGTTTCATCTACAATCTCCAGGTCTTCCAGGTGCAGTTTAGAAATTGTTCGCTAGATGTCAGCTAAAGACTGGGAAAAGGCTGTGAATAGGCTCTGCACTTGCTTTAAGGATTCTCTGCTGTGGCAGAAAGTTGGAGTTTTCGTTCAGATAAAACTGAGATGTGAGGCCCAGGTGGATTTGAGGTTATCACCATTGATGAGATTTGTTTCCCCTTCCCAAGGGAGCATGTACTGATATCGTATGAGCTCTCCTTGCTTATGGTGATGCAGTCAAGTTTATGGGCAGCTCCCAATGGCACAGTGGTGGTTGCCTGTCTAATCTGATTTTGATCCCAGTATATCCATTGCATGCCTGTCTAATTCTCAGGTGCAGTCAAATTCTCAGGCAGCAGAAGGATAAATCTGTTGTGATGGCACAAATAGATATTTTAAAAGGGAATGCATCTTTTTTATTCCATCCAGGGGGCTGTACTTACACAAAGGCTGGTACTGAGCTGGTTCGTTGTTACGCTGTCTTTGTATTCACAATATGATTTAAGAAGAAAATTATATTTATGCTTGTCACATGTTATTTCCCCTATCCCCTGCTTTCATTTTTGCTTCTCCTCCCAGGTGCCCACTCCCTGTATTGTAGCTTTCCAAAACCGAAAGGCAGAAACCTGAAGAGGTGAAGGTAATGCCAAGAAGTGGGATGAAGTGGCAGGAGCAACAGTAGGGTGCTGAACTGATCCTGTTGTTTATATATGTTGAGTCGAATGGGGAAGAAGAAACTGCCAAGCTTCCAGCCTCTAATTACAACCAACTGGATGCAATTAATTTAAATTGATACATAAAATCCCATGATACCAGGAACTTGGGGCATTTCATTTGACATTTTCTAAATGGTCTGCTTTTACTTTTTTTTTTCTTTTTCTTCAGTGTAAACAAGAACAAAAGCTGACAAGCTTTTAATGTCTAAAAACTTTGTCTGAAAAGGACAAAAAAATCCTATTGTATATGCAATTTAAAATGCAAAGACCATTCCATGGAAGGTTTCTAATCATCTATAATAAGAGACTGTGTCAGTGGCATTTCAGATGAATGGAGAGCTCTTCCTCTGAGCTCAAGCCTGTGAAGGTGTGATACGCAGAAAGCAAAGAGCAGCACTTTGTTACTGTCAGGACTGTCAGATCAATCTCCCACAGACTTCCATCAGCATTGATTCAGACTGCAAAGAGTATGTTTTCTTTTTGGACCAGAGAAAGCCAGTCCAAAGAAACAGGAGGATGGGTTTGCGGTTAGGAGTTAGCAGTTGTGGAGCCCTTCAGCTCCAGAACCTACAAATAAACCTGCCCCCCTCTGTCTATGAATTCAGAGTGTGTTGATTTGATTAAGGTCTGTATTGTCTCCATTTAAGGCCCTGCTGTTTATTAGTAGAATTTCTGTCTCTTACAGCCTCTAGGGAGAAAATAGAAATGCCCTGAATTAGCCGAAAGCCAATTTATCGATCCTGAATTCCTTTCACAGTGTTTGCTGCTGTGGCCTCAACTCTTGTTTTGGCTTTATTTCGAAGGGAGACAAAAGTCTCCCTAGTCCAATGTGTAGGATTTTCATTGTGGCAAGCATCTGGTAACACTTCAGAGCCCTTGGATAGCCTTTTGGGGTTGGTAACCAACAGAAAGTCCACAGCTGAGGTATGTGTGTGAAAACCCAGACCCAGATGCAGCCAGCTCAAACAAAGCAAAGTGCCTGTGTCTAGTATTTCCAAATGGCTGGCTGTGGGCCTTCCTGGGCACCTAGCCAGCTGGGAGCACTAGCCACAGGACTCAGAGGGAATTAGGCTGGCTGCATCTTCAGCTCCCTGGCCAAGATTTGGATTGCAGACCCTGAGAAGAAGTGACCTGGGTCTAGGTGCTCTTCTGTCTGAGCATCTAAGTTTGGGGAAAAGGGAATCACCAACAGGAGCTGAATATTTCAGCTCTCCATCTGGTGTATTTTGGCTGTTCAGATTTGAAGGGAGCCTGAATCTAGATCACCTGGATAGATGACAGAAGAGGAGGTTGAATAACAGATCTTAGAGCCTCTCACCACCAGGTAGCAGGGCACCTATTTGAGTAGCTGCTTGTTAAGGGATAGACTATATATTTTTACATGTGAGTAGTTGCCTTTTCATCTGAAATCAGTGCCCAAATGCCATACATGCACAAGAACGTATTGTAAGATACAATAATGGCAGGGTCCTTGTTTTAAACAAGGCTATTTGTTTCTTATTAATGGTTGTTGTATTGAGTTGCTGCTTTGCATTTTTTTGCTGCTCTTGCCTGTAAATAAGAGAGTGAATCTGTTTCTTAACAAGGTATAGGATGATTGCTGCATGTCAAAGAATGAGCTGCCTTTTCAGTCCTGTGTGTGTTCGCCTGCCTGCCAAGTGATTAATTACACTGTATGAACAGCAGAAAAATTGTTGAAACATGACAAATAAATTGTGTTTGCCTCTGGGATGGAGCTAGGACTACTAGCTGATCTGCTGCTTTGAAAATATTTTCAGTAGCAATTAGGAATCTCCCACTGGCTTCTGAAAAAAGTTTTTTCCCCACTAGCTGCTTGAGGATATCTGCTAACACCTGTGTCAGAACAGAGGTGGCCTTTCTGCACTGGAAAAAGACTGTGATCCAAACAGGTTTTTCATTAGGCCGAGGAAGAATGAAGTGGTCTGAGGCACAGCTGGACTGAGGAAAGGTGAAGGCCCACTTGCATAGGTCTCCTTTGTCAGCCTGGAATTGCAGTTATTATCTCCAACTGTGCTGTCTCTTGCTATTTATTGAAAAGCAAAGCCTAGGAAAGCATTGAATATTTTACTGAATTCAAACTTGCAGTTATCTTCTTCTTGTTACCATCATAAACAAAGCTCTCCTTTTTTTTTCCACTGAGGACATCCCTTTCACCAGGTATGCCAGCAGTTGCAGCAGTGCTGGTTTGCTAGTGAACAAATCCCTCTGGGTCACTTCAGTAGAGAGGATCAAGCAAAGACATCAAATCTTACCTGAGCCCAAGAAACATCTGCCCTATCACTTCTAGTTTGTGAGAAGCCTGTTCTGTCCAGTTTGAGGTGGTGTCCACCACAAAGAAAATGACAGTCAAGGAATACTACTGACCTGATGCCATAATGCACATTTTTATATAGCATCATGCATCTTTCAGAGCTTGACTGTTGATGTATTTTTATCATTTGTGCAGACTGGGCATTGCTG